CCTGCGGTGGTACATGGATCCTTATAAAACCATATGTGATTGACCCTATGGTAGAATTCATACCTCCACAGATCTGTCCAAAGTCATCGTCTCCTTCAATGTCACTGGAGTTACACTTTTGCCATCGGCCGTTCACCTTGCATAAAATGTCGGTACCTAAATAAGACATACTATTGTAAGATTCCATAAAATTTGAGACTGCTAGTTACATGAGTGATGGTATGTCTGCCACAACCACTATACTAAGGTCTCCTTTTATACTCATGTTGTCGGTTGATGCAGGCCATTTCTTTCCCTTGGACATACATCCAATGTGGATACTATCATCATTTCACTTGAGCTATTTGTATGACTTAAACATTTGCAGCAACCAACAACCTTATGTTTATTATAAAGCACAGTGACAAATAAAACCAATAACATACATCTGAAGTAAGGAATTATTACGGACCTAACATTATTTAACAGCAAAATTCAACATTACGCAAACAGTATTTGTCAACACAAATACAAAAGTAATGTGTAACACTATTAATGCTGCATATATAACGATATCGAAGTTGCAAATTCATCATAACACAAACTTTGAATTTTCCAACATAAATACAAAAATAGGACCTAACAAGATTTAGACTGCAAATTCAACATTAAACAAATTGTCTTTATCAACACTAATACGAAAAAAGCGCGTGAAATCCAAACTTTATATTGTTTAGCGTTACCTGTGTCGACTGGAGGGTCATTGGAGACTTCGCCCGTGTATGACGAGTTAGGACAAGAAGTGTCAGGGTTGTGTCTGACGAATGTGACGTAGAGAGGTCTACCATCAACCACGGGCACAACCAATACGGATGGAGAACCTGCTATGGCCGTGTCTGCTTTGTCGTGGAATGCTGCTCCCGGATGTGACGTAGCAAACGAGCTATACACATTGATTACACCACAATCTACATCTGTCTGTAAAATCAAATATTGAGTATTGTTATTGATTATTGCAATGAACATTTTTCGACAGTATTGGCCATTAGTAATCCATTGTGAAAATTATGAAAGGAAAACTATTATCATTGCTTACACATATCTATTGAGGTGATGAAGTTAAGAAAGGGAAAGAACTTTCATAGAAAGGGAAAAAATAGGTATGTTGCTTAAAACATAAAAGATATGATAAGATTGAAAAATATCTTGTCCAAAAAGGAGGAAAGACAAAAAGTTCATAAATAATTTAACAGATTGTTGAAACAAGATTAAAACAACTTCCATAAATAGAACATAATATATCACGGTGTCAACAGGATATGACAAAATATGACACATTATAAAAAGAAAAAATACAAATTATGAAACAATATAAAACGAAATAATACAAAGTATACCATTTTCAGAAGTAAAGGACAAACATAAGAATAAGTTGCAATTGTCCAGATATCATTCAAGCAATTTGAAGAATGCTAACCGAACAAGAAAAATGTGGAGGAAAAAACAATAAAGAACGAGACTATTTGTCCAGATGAAAAACAACAAAAATGGTAAAGATTCTTCAGCACAAAAAATGGTAAACGGTGAAGAGCATCGGGTGATCACACAAATACATACAATGATTGTTTTGTTGTGTCCGTCATCTGTGTCAATTTCGATGGTGGACCCTTCACCTGTCGGTACCCCGCCTCCTACTTCTGCTTCCTCACCCACAGGGTTGGACGCTTTAACAACAATAAAAGTCCTAATCTGTATAGTGTTTGTTCTTTATTATCTTTAAATCTTTATAGTCTTTATATTATTTTCTAAAATCTCTGTCGGTATGGCGCTTTAGTTTCAGGGATGGTAGTGAATGGCGAGGGGAAGGGGAACTTATTTTATTTACGGTTTGGTTACTGAAATTGATCCACTGCGTTCATTGTTTCTAATTAACAATATATAATATTCAATTTATTCATATTATCATTAATGGTTGGATTACTCTTTCGACATTTGATTAATATTCCATGCTGTAATGCTCATGACACGTTTTGCCGCTTTAATAAAGATTTAATAAAATATATAAGTCTTTACATCGCTTTAATTTCAAAGATTAAAGTGAATGGATGAAGCTTAAGGGGTGTAATTGTTTTGTAGGTTTTATTACTGAAATATATGCACAGGGTATTATCGTAATACGAATGGTATATTATTTCTAAATTTAAATAATACTATTTGATAAATTTTGCATTAAAATGGTCTGTGCTTATGATTTAAATTGATCTGAATATCAGCGCTCCGACATTAATATGTGCATTTTAATTGAGCCATAAATAATCCATAATTTTCAAATTCCATGAAATATTGTTTATGTTAATAAGCACAAAAGTAATTTGGAAAGAAGGGAAAGAAGGTTGTGTCAATTGCATTTCAACAAGTTAGACTATAATATCAATATTGTGACGTGACTATTGTGTAATATTCAAGTTCTTTTCAATAAATATATTCCATAAAAGCACATGTTTCCATGCATCTTGTTGGAAATTTGAAAGTATGAAGATAAAAAAAAAACGAAAATAAGTACGAGTACATGTGCTCTAATATAGCTAATTCTATTTCCGCACCATATCCACACCTGTAACACCATTTTGCTTTAAAAGGACGTGATTCTCCTTTGTTACCGAGAGGAATGTTTCTTCAGAATTTTTTTTTAATATTTGTTTGCCCTCAGTAGATGTTAATCGTTTACAGATAATAACTTTTAAATGCTGGAAAACAGAGTTAATAAATAATATTGTACTAGTATACCGGGAAATGTTCACTGCAGTTAAGTGTTCGCCTTCTGAAATGAGGGCGAATTTTATCATTACAGCTAACATAAGGCAACAACATAATTTACATATTAATTAAATGTGAAAGGCGTTATAAACACTGAGTGAAGATTTTACAGGAGGAGGGCGAAAGATTGACTGGCAAACATGCTCCGGTATACAGTAGTTAATACGTTAAAACGTTGAAATAAAATACCTACCCCTGCATGCACTTTTCTTGATTTCATAAATGATGTCGTCAATCTGCTTGAAATTGGTGAGAACGGAGACATGCGTGCAGTTTGGATCACTGGCAGCAGAGTTCAACTCTGCAATGTTGATATTCCCTATCCCCACAGCAAATATCCTAATGTGATTAGCCTTCGCATCATCGGCCGCTCGCTTAGTAAATGTAGCAGAGGATGACACTCCGTCTGTGACCAGAATGGCTATTTTTGTTGCGTCCTTTCTGCCACCATATTTAATAGGAAAGACATACTTGTCTGCATGCTGAATTCCTGCCCCAATGCTGGTCCCTCCACCTCGATATCGGGTGTTCAAAATGGCGGACTTCAGAGATGTTTTTGTCGAGTATGTTCCTAGAGAGAATTCCAGAGTTGCCCCTGTGGTAAACTTGACGAGACCAACCTGCACAGCTGTAGGTCCGATGTTCAGATCGTCGACTACTTCCGTTAGGAAGGTGAGTACTTTAGCGAAGTTTAAAGAGCCGACGCTTCCCGATTCATCAATGATGAAGACAATGTCGATGGGTTTGTAGTCACAAGAGTCTGAACGGAAACGAATAAAATTTTGTTTTACAGTTAAATGTATAGTAAAACCTCGTTATACTGTTACCATTTGTCCAGAGAAGTCTTTATAAATCGTTATAAGGAGTTCTACCGATAAAATGAGGGAAAAGTCAAAGGAACTATTAAGAAAATTAAATAAGATTGAAAACATTGTTGGCAATAAGTGAGGTAGAAAGTGTTAGTAAGGGGCGTTGAATCGAGGTTTTACTTTATATAAGACCCCCGTACCACTGCCAAACCCACAACTTCACGTAAGTAGCCTTTTTCTGGCATAACTTTATCTTTATTATCGAGTTTTGAAATGAAAACTATCTCTTGGTGAAGTTTTAAGGAAAATAGCAATATAAACGAAATATAAACAACAGTGCTATGAGTGAAAAGATTTAGAGAAGCTTGAGAGGTCCACATATTTGTATACTGTCGGGAAACGATATTTAGGGGAGGTTACTGTATACAGGAAAACCAGAGTGCAGTGGCACATGGATCGGGGATCATCCTTAAGCGGGGATTGTCATGTCAGTCCCTGGACATACATATCTCGTGATGTTATTAATTAAAAAAATATATATATTGGTTCTAAGTTTTCCATTTGTATACAATGCATGAGTATAAATAAACATTAACATTCAGACATCATATTACGCTCCATACTGGGGAGCAACATTGTTAACATTTTTGGGTAAGATGTATAAAGATGTATGTTATTGTCGTACCGAAAGAAAATGTCAATAAACATGTTGATGAGGAAGAATATATGGAGTAATACATTTTAATTGTTAGAAGTTTAATTAGATGCAAGTATTTGTTTTTAAAATGTTGTACCGTAGGCCAAATCATCATCACTACACTTAAAAAATCTGGCAAGTACATGAATCTAAAGATGACCGTACCAGTACAAAATATGTAACCTTAAATTTGAAACTTTTTACATGCATGCCAATTGCTTCAATAAGTCATGCATGGTATTTTCTGATAAGAAATCCATACGTATTGACACTTTTATGAAGAAAAAAATAAAGATGGAAAATAAAATAAATCAACTTCCGTTGAAATTTGCCCCATAGTTTTTTTCTACGAACAGAAAGACGGACGGACAAGCTGATTCTAGTATACCCCCTAACTTCGTTGCGGGGGGTATAATAAAGTGTATAATAGTTTTACTATTAAGATTATTTTATTGTTTTCAAATAATTGCATATCTTTGTATATATCACAATCTCAACCTTAAGTAGTTCTCCGGAGGAAAGATTATTTTGGCAGAATACATATTTATGAGTTATTACTGCTGCACATAACTTTAAAACATGCGTAATATAATAAAGTGTTTTGGTATGATACAAGAACAGAAAATGTATCGGTATTTACCATAATAGACATTGATAGTGAAATCCCCATGATTATGTGAAATTGGGCATTGATTATGTTTGGCATGCTAACAAAGTACTTTACCGGTTTTGATATTACATAAAAATGACAGAATATATATATACGGAAAGTTTTTAAAGAAGTTTGAAATATAGACTACCATTATAACTATATATAGACAAGTTTACAATGTTGGTTATATTTTAAATTTTGTGAACATTTTGCATGTTTTTCTTATGATAAGTTTCACTACGCTTACTCCAGGTATACCAATATGACATATCTAGTATCAAAATGACAGTAATTGTGTACACTGTACACTATCATAATTCATTTTCATAATAACACTCGCCTGTGACATTTATCTGTCATTTTGTTAAGATACCCCCGTAACTCAACCTGGTGTTATGCAAGGAGGTCCACTACGGCTATCAGTAGTAATTATGAATAATCATTTATATAGTTATTGATCATTTTGTATATCTACATATGGCAAAAGAAATAAAAGAAATCAAAGTGGGGGCCAAATGTTTGAAACTTTTTACATAGATGCCAATTGCTTCAATAAGTCTCGCATGATATTTCTGATTATAAATCCATACGTGTTGACACTTTTATGAAGAAAAATAATAAAGATGGAAATAAATTGATATCGACAACATTGTTACAAGTGTAATATTACAATGTGACCCGGTCGGAATAATTAGAACTCTGTACCTAATTCGTTCACAGTCTAGCCTACATAGCTTCCTTATCAGCTGTAGTTTACTGACCCAGCCGGACTACTGTTGTATCAAAAACGAAAGTAAGGGGAGGTTACAGTTTGTTTGAAAAAACTACAACGAATAATTAAGTTTTATGTCTGCAGTCATCCTCGATACTCCAGGATTTACGCTCACTTTCGCTTTCTGCACCCCTGGAATGTGTCATAGCAAAATTGAAGGCACTTGGCTAGCTATTTGATTGGTCTATGGTTAAAAAAGACCTGACCAATCACTAGGCTGATACATGTCCTCTGAAGAATACAGTGGAGCAACCCCCTACTTCAAGCCCTCTCACTTTTACCATTACGCGACCGACATATTCTTTTGATGTACATCAAGGGATCAAACTAGAGTTTCCTAGTCTCGTCCACAAGGCAGTGCACACTGAGCCTTCGATTTTGCTATGACATTATCGAGGATGGTCTGCAGTAGGACAAGGATCCTGAAATTATTTAATCTCTGAATTAAAATAAAGAGTAATCACTAATACACTTACCGTCCGCCGTACTCTCTTTCTGTTGGATCTTTGTTGTATACGTTGTCAGGTTCTGAGTTGGTTGGAAATAACTTTTCCACAAAGACGCCTGACCGGTTAGGTCGCCAGGGGCTGGGTCAGCCCCTTGCAGTTTGAGATATAGGGACGCTGCTAGGCCGGAGTATAGAGGCTTCAGGAGGTCAGTCCACTGGACACTTGACCAGTCGATTTGGAACTCGGATAAGATGATGCTACATTCCTCGCGTATTGTGTGATGGGCGCAGTTCTTTGTAGTGTTAAACTTGTCTTCATCAACCTGTAGCCAGAATATGAAAGCATCTTGAACCAATCAACTCGACCTAACTCGACCTATACTATGTAATATGAACGTAATGCACTCACACGATTGCCCTTATACTATTTGGTAATGGATGCAGCATGCCAAAAGTGAATCACACTGCACCATTAAACTGTTTTAGTTCTAAATCTTATCTGTGATGCTAGGAGCCAAAAAAGGAAGTAATCAAAACGTTCGTTGAAACAGAAGAAACATACGGAAGAGGGGACTCATACATTATATGATAAACTGAATGTTAATGGATATTAGATTGTCCGAACATTTTAGAGCAACATATGGTGATAAATTAGTTTACGCTAATTATTACTTTTGTGTAAAGCAATACACGAGTCTTAAAACACAATGGAGCATCCGAGAATGTTGTTGAGGTATTAGGACACACATTTGAAGGACGGCAGGATACAACACTCGCGTTTAAATGATAAATGGCAAACAGTTATGATCATAACTTCAGAATTGTTAGAATTCTTAAACAGAAATAGATGACGAAAGAATGTCACATAAGTGCTTGAGTGTGCAACCATTGCACCAGAAAACATAGCTGTAAGTCACTGGACATGCGTGGTGACAAAAACTTTAAAAAAAAAAAAACTTTAAAAAAAAACCAGGACAAGGTAAGAACCAGTGTTGAATTGTTATTGTGTCCATGTAAGAAAGATATAATGAGTAAAAGTATTAAAGTGACCGTTCTGCACTCAGTTTGACAAAATTATATTATATAAGTAATCAAATTCTTTACGGCACGTAAGAAAATAAAACTTAATTCCTTTTTGTTTTATATCTTTGACTGCTTTCACATCCTCAGTGTGGTAATAATGGAAAGTTTGATACTTTTTTTATGTAAAAAAAAAAAAAAAAAAAATGTCAGTTTTATCCAGCTGCATGTGGTATCTTTCAATGAATGATCAAGTAATTGGGTGTTTGTTTGATTATTGCACACGCAAAAGCGTTTTCCGGAGACCATGATACGAGTAGAAAGTACATATGTACTGAAATAAAATAAGATAGTTATTAGGTATACGATAGTTTTTGAATAAATGTCTCAAACAAAAATTCGCTAAATGAAGCATGTGATTGATAGATACCACTCTTCAAGTCGGTTTGTGATAGTAAACCAAAATAGCAATAAAACTGCAATTTGATCTCAAACCTGCTTAAATTAAGCCAAAATATAAACGAAGAAAAGATAACATGGCGACCCTTGAAATAGTACAAAGAGGAAAAGCAGGTGTTCCAGAGGGGTAAACGTCTTCTGCGTCGTGTAAATCTTTGTAAAATCTATGTAATGTCACCACCTCGAATCGGGAAACGGGGAAGTGACAACTGGTCACAAACAAGCATCTTCCCTTTACATATGTACTTCAATACACAAATTTACTGGATGCACAGAACGATCATCAGGTGACAAATTCAGTTTGATATAACCAAAAGACAAACAACACTTTGTCCGGATAATAAACATACATTTATTGGTCACTATTTGCAAGTCGCATTTCTAACAGGTAATTTTTTAAGATGTTACTAACCTGCCATATTCCGCCATAGTATCCGCTTCTGTAGGTAGTGACCATATTGCCGTCATCAGACTGGACAATGGCCAAACGTCTGATAAACAATCGGTCATCGGAGTAGATGCAACTGCCTCGTATACGGTCAGTGACTGCCTGGACAACAGCTGACCCGAAGGTACGCTCCTGCATGGTCAAATCGGACTGACCACTGCAATACGACTGCAGCATACCTTAAAACAGAAAAACAATATTATAGCAACGTCAGTATACAACAAGATTAAACGGTTTATATAAGGAATATTAGCATCATGGTAGGACGCCGGGCAAGATATTTTACTCCACTTATTCCAGTCTACGCAGCTGTAAATGCGTAGGTTGTTGCGCAGTGCTAGAATTGTTAAATGCTAGTTGTGAGCGCCGAAATGGCAGCACCGGCTGTATGCTCTCAAGGGAGTTAAGAAAGATATTAGCTGGTTGCAAAGGCCCTATAACCACGGATAATAATTTGTAAACCGCTTTGAGACGACCTACAAACTAGGTTGTGATAAAAAGGTATATAAGAACCTCTATTTAGTATTGTTTATTATCATTAAATCACAAAGTTGACACAAAAAGACTACAAAAGGCATGCACACGAATAAATAAAGATAGAAACGGAGAGTCTCGGTGAACCCTCATAACAAACTCAAACTAAAAGATGTTTGTTCACCACAGGGAGCAAATCGACATAATAAGAATATGATCATGACGACTTAGATTGTTGGTGAATTATATTTCACATAATCATTTTTATATCTTGAACCTTCAGCAACACTCGCTTTTGCCTCTGATTTTTTTCTAATTTTGATAACATATATACATACAAATACTATAAAAAAGCAAACAATATAGGTGAGAAATAATGCATAAAAAGAAAACATTGAATGCATGCAATTTTAATATCATATAATACATTAAAACAACAACTCAAATAAATAACATGCTGATGCATAATGATAACCTAATGAAAAACATGTAAGTGTCTGAAACTACGTAATAATTTTATAAGATTTTATTAGCATTGTTATCACTTAACAAGATAAGCAGGAAAACAGACTGCCGCTTACCTATTACAAGAAACGTTGCTAGACGAAAAGACTGCATGGTGACCAAGTCCAAAGCGCCGTCTCAGTCAGTGTGGCGTAGAGACCAAAACGACTTTATGTGCCAAAAGGCGAAGCGCGACTGACGATTTCTTGATATCGTTGGCTTTTATAAGAAAACTGTCCATGACTACTGATGAACGATTTATACTTCCTGCTTTCTGCTACAAGGTGGGCGTCAACAACAAACAATCGCAATAAGTTAAGTTATCTTCACTGAATCATTTTATATATATATTTTTAATCTAAATTCCTCAACCCCCTTCATTAATTTGACCAGAAACATTCAGATTCATGTTTATCTGCCTTTATTTTACACATAATATGTAAAGGTTTTCATTTTTTTTTAATATTTTTATACAAGTGTGAACATTACAAATTTGATTTTAGAAATGTAAGATAACGATGCATGTCACGTCTGTAACTGGGTAGCGTGTTACCCAATGCATGTTCAGAGTTTTATTTCTAAAGAAAAACGTTTAACCAATTACGACTCGATTCAATCTCACGTCTCCAAATGCTCTCGACAAAAGTTGATAAGTTAAACACCGATGACTAACTATTTGCATTGAAGTTGATATCAGAAATAAATATATTATTAATCGCATAAGTGCTTTGTATTGAAGTGTTATAAATCTGACAAAGGGTTGATGCAATCCCTGTGTGCTTTTTTATTTTATTATTGTGACACTCATTAAGCTTACCAGGAAGTTGCGTTTCTGTCGAAAGATTAAAATATTTTCTATTTTATTTATGAAAAAAGAAATATCTAGTTTAATCTCAAAATGTAAATTTTATTTTTTTTACAAAAATTATGAACAATTTATTTTATGTAATGATCACTCTTGGTGGCCCGGATGTAAGCACGTTAGTTTATCTTAAGTTAATGTGTTTCAAAATGTATATATTACAACAAATACAATTAGACATTATATGCAGGTTTTTTAATTAACGTTAATAATTGTGAAGTTTATCGGGTGGTCAGGTGGCATAGTGGATATTGCACTCCCCTTTTCATAAGATGGTCAGGGTTCGAGTCCTAGATCGGACGTGAGAAAGTATGAGACCACCTGCCCGACCACGCGAGTTTAATCAGAGCTTTCCGGTTTATTTCCACATAAAGCACCCCCGCGCGTTAACATCCGGGTGATTAAGAGCGATTAATATAAGTCATAATAAATTAATAAATAATAGTTGTAAATGACATACATTTTCACGTCCGATTGGGGAATCGAACCCCGGCCGCTTTGATTAAAGCTCTTGCCACTGTGCCACCCGACCACAAAAGTAAAAACATTTTATAAAATCAATATTTTCTACTAAAGGAATATTTTGTACCACTATATTTATCGTGAAATTGTCACCGACTGATTCAAAGAATGCCTTAATGAGCCGATAAAATGAGGCAAAATACAACCTTTTCAATAGTACCTACAGTTGTAGAAAATAGCCAATTAATGTTTCCCCCCATTATAATAGATCATACATACTGTTATAGCAAATACACGTTAACTGTTATAAAGAACGCTTCACTGAAACGTCATTATGATGACATGGTGTAGAAATATATGTACTTAGAGGGAGGGGCACCGAGAGACTAAGATTAAGTTGTCTGCGGTTTTCTTTTCTTGACAATTGTGAAGCATATTATAAATAAGAACTTTCGATGCAGTCGTGACTTTCAAAGCATTATCTAACTTATCTTGAAGAGTCAATATCGTCAACAAAGAGATACTTAAATACTAAACTAAATACACCATATTTTTCGGAGATATGTGGTCTCTATTTTTAAAATTGATTGAATTATTGTAGTTTTACTTTTTCCAACTGCTATCGTTTATATATCGATAGTATTCACAGAAGATGAAGCCACTTTATAAGAACATACCTTGCGGAACTGATCATGAAATAAAGAAAAAACATTCAATTACAAAATAAGTAGAGCATTTAAAAACATTTAACAAATACTCTTTTTGTTGAAAATGCAAATTAAGAGGTCCTTAAACATTCAATATCGCTCGTCACCAAACTCTTAGGTGGTAACTTTTTATTTGTTTAAGTGGTCTTGCTTTGTTATCTAAACTTTTTGGCGATAGACAAAGCTCTAGCTCGCTAAATCTGTTACCCAGGTTTGATTAATTAATATAATTAATTCTAACATACATGTATTGATAGCTATTCTTTTATCTTTGTTTAAAGAGTACACTTTATTTTGTTGATAAGTGTGTTACGTTATACCTATATAAAGTGTGTGTGTGTGTGTGTTAGGGGGTTAGGAAGTACGTACAACCAGTGCAATCTACAAGGTTCCTATTTAATTGTCTATGGTTTATTGCAGCTAATCTAGATGTAAATAAAACAATTGAGCAACCAACGCTGACTAATAGCACTTGAGATAGTACCTGGGGACGAGGAGACAAAAGTTATTGTCGTAATTTAGAACATAAATCCCTGTCCCAATGCAAGCAAAATGTATACATAAACTGTAACCTCCCCTAGTCTCGATTAACCTGTCAAACACACTACTTATAAATTACCATCACCAGAGGGCAGTGTTTTTACTTTCGTTTCCGAACGTTATGTCCACGCCATGAAAAAACTTCAAAGAATAATGAAATTAATGGGGAAAAAACTTACCGGTACATGTATTCCTGAAGTACCCTTGTATTCACTTTTATCAAGAAAATGTAAGAAAATGTGTCAAATCTACAGAATAATGCCATATATTTCCACTAAATAAGTCACAACTGAGTACAAAGCCAACAAGGCTGACTGAGTTCGGAAACAAAAGCATGCAAAGCAGGTGATATTTTACCTGTACACCATTCAAAACACTACAGGTTCTCACTCGGGTAATATGGCTTGACTTGTATCAATAGCCTTGTTAGCTTTATGAGTTATTGTAAAATATCCGATGAAAATACATGAATCCTTCTTGAGATTTGAAGCATTTTCTTACATTTTTCGCGATAAAGTGCAAACACGGATACTTCAGGAATGCATGTACAGGCAAGTCTTTTTCATGAATAAAAAAATATTCAATGTAATTTTGCGCCACTCAAATTCTGACTTCAAAAATTGGAAAGGGTGTATCTACCTTTGACATATGAAAGCATTTACCAGAATTCTGGTAAGCCTCGTTATGACTTCACAAAACGATAGCATTAGGTTTTACCAGACTCTCTGTTCGGCGTAGCTTGCGCAGACAACAAGAGTCTGGTTGAACGAGACTACAACCTCACCCTAAGTTTCGTTTTGCAGATAACAGTGTAATGGGTCTGCGCCAGGGACCTGCGGCTAGTCAGGTAGCTTAGTTGGTTAGAGAGACGCTGTTGTAATTGTAGGTCAATGGTTCGAATCCCTGTCTTTTACTGTGGCATTTTTGCTCTATTTTTTATTATTGCAGTTCGAAAGGTATGTGATTTCTTCCGAAATAGATGTCATACTGAGAAAATAACTTTCCAATTTGAAGTTACAAATTTAGTCAGTGGTCCGGGATCCTTAAATAGGTAGCAATAATAACGCCCTACCCTACTCGGAAAGTGCCATCTATTTTACCGATTTCAATAAAAAAAATCTATAGAAATGTGGCAGATATTAATTGTACACATGATTACGGTCGCGTTCATGCTTCGCGCTAAAGGGAATTTCCTTTTTGCTCAGAGGTAGAGCGTCATAATAGAAAGTCCGGTGTCGCGGGTTCGATCCTCAGTGGAAAAATACCATTCTCTTTCCTATTACACAACTATAATATGTGTATAGCAGTTGCTAGGAAAACAAACCCTAATTTCATCGGAACTCAGGATTACCGTGATAGATGTCGACTACTAAAAGAGTGACAACACAGGGTTTTAGGAGATGCAGTTTGATGAAGATTAAGACCAAGTCTATGGTCGCCATCTTGGGTCTCTTTGGCAATTTCCCTGTGCGATATGGAAGTCGGTGTTTTTCAGTATAATTATTTCTGTATCTTGTGGTAGTGTTGTAACTACCCGAGTTCGCGATGTTAGGATGTAAAATTGCATAGATTTGACATATATTTACACTGCGGATGTCGTCAATGAAGCATCTGGTTTTATTCTTCTTGTACGTTTTCAAGGAGTAAATTGGATTTTCTATCATCTTTTGCTTTAGTTTTATCGATTTTGAGTTCGAACTAAAAATTTGAGTTACACTTTGACATTCCTTCTTGTTCTTCTTGTGAACAAAAAAAAAGAGCCAAAAAAAAACATCGTTATATTTATGTTATTGCGAGGAGTTCGTGTTGGTCTAAAATTGCTTATCTTTCACCTCGAAGGTTGATCATTGCCGATACAGGAACTTGGTTTTTTTTCAGATACATAATTTCCGTCTAAATATCAGAGTTTTATGAACCTCTTCACAAAGTAGTTAAGCAAGTCAAAAAAAGCAAAAATCCTGGATGAATGAGATTTAAAAGCCCTGTAAATTCGACCGAACCTTATAATTTCTAAATCAAGTAGGAAACAATGTGTTTGTATATAGCGTGTGTTGCACAAAACCACTGATTCAGCTAGGAGCCATCAATCAACAAGTGTTTCATCCTTCAATCCCAGGTCATTCAACGGACTGCCAGCTCGTTTCCCTCATGAGCCACAGCCAACTGGATGCTTTCTCAGCTGGCTGTCTAAAAATTCTGTTGAAACAGTGCGTTAACCCGACTAGTTGTGAGTGCGACAAAGTTCTGTCCTTTGTTTCCTGATCCACCTTTGACATAATTACAGGTGTGCAACAAGGTTCTGTTCTTGGTCCACTTTTGATAATATGAAAAGGCAAAGTCTAAAAAGAGCGTAGCTTTCAGAATTAGATATACTGCTTTCAGAATGAGATAAAATAAACTTTTTTTAAAGTTGGCTAATCGAGGAAAAACAATAAAACATGAGCTCTAATGAGACTCTAATGAGAAAGCTCGCATAACCAGAAGCGAGATCATGATTTTCTTTCTATACCCTCTCAAAAGTTATTTTCTCCTGCTCAGTAATTCAGTACTAAAGAGTTTGCCTCGCCAATTTTTTCGTGTGAAAGCCCAGCCAACTAAACTGCCTCAAAGTTGTAAATATAAGCTAAACAACAAAAA